GCACATGATGCTGAGGTTCCAATGATTGGGCATGCATTCCTCTATATTGTCTTGAATAGTTCGGTTGTAACCCATCAGCACCTGCTGCTTTATTATTCTTCAGCCGATTGATTGTAGTGTATACACTAGGTGGTATACACTCTATACCCTCATCCCCTATTGCTTCTGGGGTATCTTCTTCACCGCCACTATTTCATACCGGAAGCTTTTCAAAATCCTCTTTCCAGATCCTCAACACGCTGTCTGTATTTGTCACCAGGTTTCCTTCTTCACCTAAACAGGAGGATGTGCCTGCACCAAAGCCTTCGGTTTGGTGTTTTACTCGTTGTTAAAATTTCCGGACTTCATTCTGATTCCTATTCTCAGGGTTTTCTTGTTCTTTCTTTTTTTCTGAAAATACGTTTCTCCTTTTCTCCCGACAATTCACCATCGTGTTACTTGTTACTACTGTCTGAAGGATTTCCCTATACGCTGCGTTTTCACGTTAGTAGCATTACGACACTCCTTATGGTACAATGGGTTTCTTGATGTAGGTTTTTGGTACCCAAGTGTTGCTATTGTTGCAGTTTGTAGGGGGTAGGCAATTACTTGACATTGTGCTTCTATATTATTATCGTCAAGCAGGTGGGTAAGTTGAGCGGAGTAGGCATATACTACCTTTTGTGTTTGCAGCTTTTCGACGTCGAGTTTCCGTGTTGTGTTAGATGGCACCTTTGCTGGTACATTAAGACGGGTGCGAACCTTGGCTGCCACAAGGTAATGGTCCAAATCAATATTCGTATCGATGGACTGTCTAAAACACTGGATGAATGCGTCTATCAGAACATGATCAATTGCTTGATCAGGAGAAAACCAGGTGGTCTTGTATATATCGAGATACTTGAATCTGGTGCTGCTAACTGCCATGTTTTTTTGCTGCCGCGAAGTCAATCAACCTCATGCCGTTGTCGGATGTTTCTTCATGGTGGCTGAATTATCCGACGGAAGTTTCAAAAATATGTTCCTTTTCGATTTTTGCATTAAAATCTCCTAGCAGAATTGTAATATTATGAGCAGGGCAGCGGTCATATACTGTTTCTATTCGCCCGTAAAATATGTCTTTGGTCTCCTTATCTTTGTCTACCGTAGAACTTCGCTTTTATACAGATAATAGCAATTCGCCCATTTACTGAAGTGAATCTGGAGACAAGGTCTTTCTCTGTTAACCATAAATCCGCAGCCAAAATTAATGTCTCGTTTCAGTGCGTAATTGTCTGATTTACTTACAGGCTTTTCCTTCGCATTTCCTGTAATGCAATAATATCGGCTTTGTACTTCTTGAGTACATTTGACGTTTGCGGGGGCCGTCAACATTAGGTGGGTTTGGTTTTCTTTTTCGTTGCTTTTTCGTAATAGAAGGGGTTTTTCGAGTGTGGGCAACTAACCCGACGCCTGAACCGCGTGGCGGAACATATCAACTCACTTTTTTCACGCGTGGCACCGCGTGGAGTTTATTGTCCACAATTGAGAGGAATCAATATAAGCCTGTGCTTTGACATATTTCAACTAATTTCACTATTTCAGCAGTCATAAATATTTCTGCGAATTTTCCAGAAGAAGATTCAATATTAACACAATATGCCATTTTAATTAAAATTTATATTATTTTTACCAATTTTAATAATAACTAATTTTGTCTCTCATCTTTTTTCAGCTACCATCGCGAGCACTTAATTCAATGCAAAAATTAAGTGCCTTAGATTTCGATTACAATGAAATAGAGAAAATCGAAGATTACAGCTTCTATGGTTTGCGTCTGTCCAAGCTGAATATGAAAGGAAATCGGCTGCAAAGTATCCCTGAACATGCCTTCGTAGGCTTGGAGGAATCAATGCAAGAAATCGACTTATCTGAAAATAGTTTAAGATCCTTCCCCATGATGGCCTTAAGGAAATTAGATTATCTACGTATCCTACGACTGTCGAATAATAAAATTTCAACATTTTATGGTGATATTCAGCTGGTGACAAATAATGCAACGGCTGCTTCGACATTACGACTGCCTTCGTTGACATTTTTGGATTTGAGTTCAAATAAATTCACCGAAATTCTCGATGATTGTTTTCGTACATTTCCCCAACTGAAAACGTTGTCAATGTATGCGAATCAAATTGAAACCGTGCAAGCGGATGCATTTAAAAGTCTAAAAGAATTAATGTCATTGGATATGTCACATAATCGTATAATATCGTTGGATTCGAAAATATTCGATAAAAATAAACGTCTGCAAACGGTGGATTTAAGTCATAATCATATACATTCGATAAGTGGAGTGTTTTCGAATTTACCTCATCTGAGAGAAATATTTTTATCGGAAAATAATATTTTGGAGTTGCCAGCGGATGCTTTTACAAATTCGTCAAATGTGGAGGTTATATATTTGGAATATAATGCCATTGCCCATGTGGATCCAAATGTATTTTCGTCCTTGATTAATTTGGATCATTTGTATTTGAGAGCAAATTTTATACCTCTACTACCGGTCACATTGTTGGATAAGTGCCAGAAACTAAGTTCCCTCAGCTTGGATGATAATGATATACAAGATTTGGAAATTGGTATGTTTCGTAAATTGGAATTTTTGAGAGAGGTACGACTGCACAATAATCGTATAAGGCGAATAAGAAAGGGTGTGTTTGAACCCCTGCCTACCCTGCAGGAATTACATGTCCAGAAAAATAATATTGAAGATATTGAACCGGGAGCATTTCAGACATTGTATAATTTGCAGCATATAAATCTGCAAGATAATCAATTGACCGTGTTGGAGGACATTTTTCCCAAGGATGCGAATAATTCCTCGCTGCTGACCATCCAATTGGAGGCAAACTATTTGAATAAAATTCATGTGAAAACCTTTCGACGCCAGGATAAAATACAAATTATGTGGTTAAGTCACAATGAATTGGTACGTGTGGAGAAGTCCATGTTTGAGGATCAAGTTGACTTGGCCCGGTTGTATTTAAATCACAACTTCATAAGGGATATAGATCGTGACACCTTTGCCAAGCTGAAGAATTTAAAATTCCTCGATATGAGTTGGAATCGTATGAAACAATTGAGGCGAGATTATTTTGCCGCCCTCAACAATTTGGAGGAATTGCTGTTGTCCCACAATTTCATTGAGGCAATTGAGGGTTATGCTTTTAATAAAATGAAAAATCTCAAAATCCTAGATCTCTCACACAATCCACTGCATCAAATAACCAATGATGTGTTCATGGAAGATTTGGCGCTAACCCATTTGAATTTGAAAAATACCTCTTTGCGGAAAATCGAAAATAATACCTTTAAGTCGCTGCAAAACCTCAATGAACTTAATTTGGAGCTTAATTATTTGTTGCCGTCCGATATACAAAAATTAGAGTTACCAGGTTTACGCACACTCTTTTTATCGCACAATAATTTCACCAATCACATTGCCACAATGGCCAGTATGTTCGACAAGCTGAGATCCATACAACATTTGACCATGGCGAATTGTTCTATCAGCGCTTTGCCCGAAGATATGTTTAATAAAAATACCAATCTTGTAAAATTGGATCTCTGTGATAATCAGCTGACCACCATGAGTCGTAATCTCTTCAATGGCCTGAATGTTTTCAAGGAACTGCGATTATGTCGCAATCACTTAATGGAATTTCCCCATGTGGCCCTATACAATCTGAGTACCCTGGAAATATTGGATTTATCACACAACCTATTTTCCACAATTGATTTTTATAAACTCAGTGGAACCCTAAATCTACGAACATTAAATCTCAAAGAAAATAAAATCACATCGCTTACCGGCTTCAATGCTGTCAATCTAACCCAACTTGATACCGTCGATCTAAGTGGCAATCATTTACTTTCCCTGCCAGCAAATTTTCTACGGAACTCCATTAATCTACAAAAAGTTGACTTGTCTAGTAATCGTTTTCTACAAATACCCAGTTCCGCCTTATCGGATATATCTCTACCACGTCTGTCCTGGCTCAACCTCACCGGGAATCCCATCAACACAATCTATACTGTAATTGAAGAAAGATATCCCTATCTCAAGGAACTTTATATATGTCAAACGAATCTCTCCATACTCACTTCCTATGATTTTAAAGCCTTCAAGGCCCTACAACATTTGCATTTGGTTAACAATCGCATAACACGAATTTCTCCCGGGGCTTTTACAAATCTCACAAATTTACTTACCCTGGATATAAGCATTAATGAATTGGAATTGTTACCCATAGAACGTTTAAAGGGTCTGAATAATTTACGTGTGCTGAATATTTCCCACAATATTTTACGTGAATTGGATGAATTTTCATCGGATTTGGTACAGCTACAAGTTTGTGATTTATCTTTCAATCAATTGGATCGGATTTCGAGATTTACATTTACGCATCTTCATAATTTAGTGGAGTTGCATTTAATGGGAAATCGTATGACCGTATTGTCGGTGGATGCTTTCCGATATTTACGCAAGTTACATATTTTGGATTTGAGAAAGAATTATTTTGAATTGGTACCGATTGAGGCACTGAAACCACTGGAGGCGAACATTAAGACACTGAGATTGGAAGGTAAGTTAGACTGAAAAATTATAATAAATATATCTAATGATATAATTTCAATTTGAATAGATTTTAAAATTGAAAACTTTTTAATTTTTTTTAAATTAAAAACTTAAATTTTTTTGCGAAGCTGAAATCTAATAGGATTATAGGATATTTGCAATAAACGATATTAGAATATATAGGGTTTGTTTACTATTTGGGTATGAAAGGTTTTTTTTTAAAAAGAAGCAATAAATAGCTTCTGGGGAGAATATGCTAACAAAGAAACTAAGGGAACTGATGATGATCAGTGGCGAGATCCGAAACTATAGTCTTCCCTGCCTTACCCCTCGGTGAACAATGCCATACATTCCCCACTAATAAATAATTCTTTTTTATTAAAACAACAAACTGGGATTCAGCCTGACTATTTTGCAAAAACAAAATAAAAATCTTATCCCAAAATAACCCGCCAACACTACTGAAACATACAGGTTTCTTTGTATATTTTAGAATATCTCCCTTATCCGTCCTCCTACATCATTTAAATAGATACCAGTTTATAGATCAACCTCCTCTTTCATACACTGACAACTTCTCCGGATCCTGCTTCCTTGAGTGGACCATAATTGACCCGCTCAATATCTTTATAGTCTTTGGCCGGAACTAAATTTGCGTCATGGTTGGTCCATAACTGTGGCCTGTACTTTGTACGAGTATCAAATTATAATTTGTAGGTAGAGGTACAGACACAAAACGAAATCGATTCAGCTCTTTGAGAAGTACCAAATGCTCTAGGATCGATAGTCTTGGGTTTACACAATATAATATCCGTTTAATGATAACTCGAAACGTCATTCTGAACTTTCTGAAATTTGCGTTATAGAAAGAGAATCCCATTTCCAATTTTAAAGAACCTTCATCCTTTGGGTTGTTGTTGTAGCAATCGTACTACGTTCTTCAATACTAAATTAGATTGTATGTGAAAAATTCTGTGTCGATCAAGGATGTAGCATCTGTATATAGTGATTTACATAAAATTATGTGTTATATAAAAATCGACTTTCTTTGGGCAAAACAGTAGAGTAAAACTCTTAAGTTACCTCAAAATACTTCGGAGACCCCACATATCACTTTTTTTTGGTATTTTAAAGATTTTGCCATCTTTTCAAACTGAAGAGAAAGTGATTTGGCATTGCGGGTTGGTGGAGTGTGAGACAAATTTTGAAAAACTATTTATTGTGGTATCCTCATATGAAAGTCCCGCATAATTTTTGGTGTTTTGAAAATTTTAGCACTATTTTCCAGTTTGATATTTCGAGATATTGGAGAGTGAAAATCTATGCAGAGAACGTTCGATATGTGTATAGTATTGAAGTAATCTAAAAAATATTGCCCTTTTTCGTTATTTTGAAAGTTTTAGACTCGCCGATGTACTCGTAGTTTGCCATTTGAGGTTGTTGTAGGGAGACAAAACATCTTTGCAGCGTATTATGGCTTTGTGTATATGTTTGTAACAGGCAAAAAGAAATGGTTCCTGGTTCCTTTCGGTATTTTGGGGTTCTTGAGCGCGTTTTTCAACCGAATTCGCTGAAATTTGCTACATTGGGTTCTTATTGGGTACTTAATGTCTCCACAAAAAATTGTAAATATAGGTCCACTTTTTCTGGTAGCCCTCATATAACGGTTCCTCCCAATTTTCAGTATTTTGGGGGTTTTGATCGTATTTTTCCACCGAATTGTCTGTAATTTAGTATTTTAAGTTCTTAATAGGTTCCAAATATCTCTACAAAAAATTATTAACATAGGCTCATTTTTTCGGGTAGCCCCATAAAAGGATACTCCCCAATTTTCGGTATTTTGGGGCTCTTGAGCGCGTTTTCAAACCGAAATCGAATTGTAGTCGTATATGGTAACAAATCTCCCTACCAGAAATTTTTAATATTCGTCCCCTTTTTGGGGTCGTCCCAATTAACCCGCTTTTTATACCCTACACAATTCTGTTGTCAGGGTATTATAGCTTTCCCTGAGCCCCAAGAGTTTGTAACGCCGCGAAATATTGGTCCTAGACCCACCTTTAAGTATACCGATCGTCATATCTCGACTAGTTGAGTCGATCTAGACATGTGTGTCCGTCCGTCTGTCCATCTGTACATTATAATTTGTAAACACGATACAGGAAACAGTTATGGACCAATCTTCACGAAATTTTGCATATAGGATGGGTTCTGGCCAATGAAGACCCCTATTGTTTTTGGTAATGATCGGTTAATATTTAGGGGGTGAAATGGACCAAAAACTTTATTTTTTCGTTTTTTTTTGGTCGCTCCAGAGGCCGCAATTATGGCCCAAACATCTTGAATTTTTACATGGAGATGGGGATCGGGCCAAACAATAAGCATGCCTCTAAAGATTGGTCAATATTTAGCGGGTCAAATGGACCCTGACTTTTGTGTGAAAAATTACAAAATTTGTATTCTATGGCGTATATATTTACCCCTGAAGGACCCAGATCCAAAAAGTTGATAGTGTGTTCAAGAGGAGTAGTTGACCTTAAAGTGATACCAAGCTACACTTAAATATTTACAGGTGCTTACGTATTCAGACATTATTTAGTAACCCAAAACCACACCAGAGAGCGGAAATCTAGCGCTGATCGTTTTGAAATTTCCATGAGATTCCAGTTATCTGGACATGTACAGCCCTCGTCTACTGAATATTAGTAATATATGTTGACCTTTAGTCAGGTTTCAAGAGGGTGCAAATAACGCAAAGTTAGTTTTTCGTGGAAGTTGTGTAGGGTATTATATGGTCGGCCCCGTCCGACTATACTGCTCCGCTCACTGGTTGTATTTTTAGTTAGTAGTAAGGTTTGCAACCCAATGTGAATCCCAAATATATAATTACAACCTATTTAGAAGAACAAATTTTATGAAATCCTGAAAATACCCAATATATGGTGCTGTACAAAAACGTGGACCTAAATTTATTATTTTTAATCTGCACAAATTACCAAATTATGGATGTATCACCATATGGAGGCTACACAGAATCTTTGACCAATATTGATTATTCCTGCTAGCGACATTTTTCCAATGAGAATCCTATATATGAAAATAGCGACAATTTAGTTGAAAAACTTGCCCAAACTTAACAAAATAGAAAAATTTAGCAGGTGCAATTATATGAAGCATTTTTTTGGATTTGTTAATTAAAAAGATTTGTTACACACTGAATACTCCAAATAGCAACTTATAGAGGTGTTGCAAATGGAATTGGAAAATATGTACATTCCACCTTTTGGTGTATGGTAAAAACCTCTAGAGATACCATTCATTGGTACTATTTTAAAAACGACCTTTATTCACAATTTTCTGGATAGAGGTATTTTATTCCCTGATCCATTTGGATTACAACATTCATAAACATTGAACTTACCCGCAAATAGGCAGAACATTGATTTATATTCAAATTTTGGACGAGACCACTTAGATGGACTACCTTTAAAGTGCATAAAACGAAATGGGTCTTTTTTTAAGGGAACTATTGTAAAATATTGACCTACAATAAAATTTTCCTGTTATGTGATTTTTCTCGGAAACCTCAAAATGCAAAAAAATAAATAAATAAAATAAACAGAGCTTTTAATAGGAATATGGACCTATATGAATCCGAAATGCCAAATTCCGGATTCATACCTGCAAAATACGTTATGGTGAAGATAACAATGTTTTTAAGTTTAATGTTTCATAAATACTCAGAAATTAATACTTGATGCATTGTATATATCTTCATCATATTATATGTTTTCTCTCTTAAAAGCTCAATATTCAAAATTCACTTGTTTCGCATTTCTACTCTGTTCTGATTTTGTTAATACAACCAACATTAAACATTCATATAATGCATAAGCGAATTGGCTGCAAATTAATTAAATGACAATTATTTAAAATATTTACATAACCCAAATAAACACCATTTAATTTTTTGGCAATACTAATGGAAAATGTTTATCCACCTCTTTTTCTTCTCCCCGATTCTCTTTCCATATCTATCTGTTCATGTGAAACCACCAACGGACCACAATGTGAATTGCAAAACCTGCGATACCATGACAACATTGCAATTTCTCTTCATCGCACCGCCAATACTTAAATGACTGCGTGGATATTAATTAAATTGTGCGATGTGGAATATAACTTAATCGGGTGACTTTATCCACACCGCAAAATTTTTGGCTCAATTTCTCCAACGTTTGGCCAAAAATTGTATGAATTACATGATGACACCAACACCACAATTACGAACAACGACGACGACAACAACAACAATATCACAACAACATAAATACTGCTGTGCATTTGTACAGAAAATCCACTGCAATGCAGTTGTGATGCCCAAAAACTCTGGGAATGGTTACGTGATCATCGCAAATGGTCTTCATCCACTACGGCCAGCTTAACATCGTCCTCGTCGACGTCATCATTATCAGGTGGCTCAATATCGCCATCCTCCTTTGCCGCCTCATCGTTGTCATCGTCCTCGTATTCCCTGCCGTCGCCATCATCGTCTTCATCAGCATCGTCATCGCTGTCCTCGGTAATGATGTCATCGGGCGATAACATTAATTATCTAAGGTGCGAACATCCGGCTGAGTTGCGTGGCAAGATATTTGCCAAAATGGAGCCGCAACAATTCTGTGATGCACCATTAATACCCAAAATTGCCATACAGGATATACAGCCATATTCGGTTATTGTATCCTGGCAGAGCCGTGAGCATTTAGGATTAAACGGCTATGAAATTGTATATCATGCCATTGTTGGTGATGGTAGTGGAGGTGGTGGTGGTAGCAATAGTATTGGAGGTGGTTATCCTGACATAGATGAGGTAAGTACAATTTCAAACATGCAGAAACACACAAACACACCCACATTTGTATATATATGTATATAATTACTGAAAATGACATATAAATACCATATAGTTTGCTGAACGTGTTATCGTGAAATTTAAGGACTTGCATTGGAAACTGAGTTACGACAGCATGGTGTCTCAATAGGACTATCAAAATATATTTTTGTCTGTGGTGAAAATTTGAAAATCTAAAAATAGTTTTAAAAAATCCACACTCGAAGAAGTCATTGAAAAATATTTTTTAACAAATCTACGTATAACCAGTGAGCGGAGCAGTATAGTCGGACGGGGCCGACCATACGATACCATACACAACTACCACAGAACTCTATCCTTCTGCGGAATTTTATTCCGAGCCTGGATAATATTTCATGATAGTTGCACCCTCTTGCCAACAGCAACTTTTCCCTACACTGACATATTTTCCGAATATTACCAATATTCAGTACAGTATTTCTAATATTCGGCTTATAAGTGTAGCCTATAGATCGAATCGAAAAGAAAACACAAAAAATAAGTTTTCGGTCCACTTCATCCACAAATTATTATCTGATCATCACCGAAAATTATAGACGTTGTCCTTGACCATAACTTGATCCTCGTGGATCATTTCAAAGCGATCAGCACTATATTTCCGCCCTCTAGTGTGGTAATGCCTTGACGTTGTCCTTGACCATAACTTGATCCTCGTGGAACATTTCAAAGCGATCAGCGCTATATTTCCGCCCTCTAGTGTGGTAATGGTTTATTAAATAATATCTGAATATGTAACTACCTGTAAATATTTACGTGTAACTCCCAAATCCGAGTACACACGACAATATAATTGGTATCAATTTAAAGGTCAACCACTCCTATTGGATATACTGTCAACTTCTCGGGTCTAGGTCCTTCAGGGTTAAATATATACGCTGTAGAATTCAAATTTTGTAATTTTTCACACAAAAGTAAGAGTCCATTTGACCCACTAAATATTGAGCGATCTTTATCAAAAAAGGCATGCTTATTTTTTGGCCCAATCCCCTTCTCCATGTAAAGTTTCGCGATGTTCGGTACATAATTGAGGTCTCTGGAGCGACCAGAAAAACCGACAAAAAATAAGTATTTGGCCCATTTCATCCCCTAAATATTAACTGACCTTTACCAAAAACAATAGGGGTCTTCATTTGGCCAAACCCATCCTACATGCAAAATTTCGTGAGGATTGGTCCATAACTGTGGCCTGTATCGTGCTTACAAATTATAATGGACAGACGGACGGACACACATGTCTAGATCGACTCAGGTGGGTCTAGGTCCAATATTTCGCGGCGTTACAAACTCTTGGGGCTGCACAAAGCTATCATACCCTGACAACATAGTTGTTTAGGGTATTAAAAGTTGTTAAAAAATACTTTTAAAAAATCCACGCCTTGAAGAAGTCCTTGACAAAATATTTCTAAAAAATGCACGGCACACAAAAGTCAGGGTCCATTTGACTCACTAAATATTGTCCGATTTTTATCAAAACAATCATGCTTATTCATTGGCCCGATCCTCTTCTCCATGTAAAAATTCGTAATGTTCGGGTCATAATTGCGGCCTCTGGAGCGACCAGAAAATCAGAGAAAAAAAGTTTTTGGTTCATTTCATCCCCAAAACATTAACCGATATTTACCAAAAACTATAGGGGTCTTTATAGGCCAGAACCTAGCCTACATGCAAAATTTCGTGAAGATTGGTCCATAACTGTGGCCTGTATCGTATTTACAAATTATAATGGACAGACGGATCGACTCAGCTAGTCGAGATATGACGACCGGTATACTTAAAATTGGGTCTAGGACCAATATTTCGCGACGTTACAAACTCTTGGGACTGCACAAAGCTATAATACCCTGACAACATAGTTGTGTAGGGTATAAAAATCCACGCCTTGAAGTAGGCCTTGAAAAAATATTTATAAAAAATCCACGCCTTGAAGTAGGCCTTGAAAAAATATTTATAAAAAATCCACGCCTTGAAGTAGGCCTTGAAAAAATATTTATAAAAAATCCACGCCTTGAAGTAGACCTTTAAAAATATTTTTTTAATCCACGTCCTTGAAAAATAATATTTTTATAAAATCCACGCCTTGAGGTTCTAATAGTCTTAGATATTGAAGGTCTAATGATCCTTTGTCACCTGATGTTTATTTATGGCGAATAATTCAAATGTGATGTGTACCTATTCACTGACCATCGGCTATACTAGATATACGAAGCTCATCAACATACGTAATGGATCTGTTTTAAAGTACACATACGGAGGTGGTTCTGGGCGGTTAACAGAAATCATTTTAAATTTCATTACATCCTGTTGTTGTCGTTCTTGTATTTTTGGCATTCACACAAACAAAAAAAAAAAACGAAATTACAAACAACATAAAATTGCAGTTACACCATCAACTGTCGTAAATGTTGTTCGTATCAACAATAACAGCAACAACAAATTGCCAGCAATGGCAACATAAACATGTTCGACATCCAACAACTACCATCATTGGAGGAAAAGTGACAATTTTTACTGTTGGAAAATTACTGCAATAAAATTAACAATAATTACACATACGGGGATAGGACTTAAAACCCACATACACACACTCACAGACCCGCCATGCACATTGTGTATTTGTGTGCGTAAACCACCTCCTTTTCGTCGTTGTCAAATGCATCACTAAACGGAAATAGGCCCACAATGACACGCATTGACTCATTTCGAATGTCCTTGCGGACAGGACCAAACGTATACAAAGATATGGCACATCCGACTCTCTTAATGTGCCATGTAATTCGGTACGTGTTTGTAATTGACAATGTTTTCGACAATTTCTGTGGATGTATGTGTGTGTTGTTGTTTGTTTATTTTTAACATTTTTATTGCCGTAATTTGAACTGAGATTTAAGAATGATGAACATATTGAAATCTTTGCATCACTGAATTTAACTACATAATTTGGGAGAATTGCTGTTCGACATTTACATTTTTGAGTTCATATTTAGGACAGAGGACTATTAGGAGGTAATTGCAAGTAAATATAAAATGAAATTGGAGTGGATTTTTTTTTTGAGAGGGTAAGTAAATCGGTTTATTGGGTATGTAATTGATTGGTATTAAAATTGAACACAGTACTTGAAATTTTTGCAAAAAAAAAAAATAATAATAATAATATTGATTTTGAAGAGAGCAAAACGAGAACATTAAAATATTGAATATTAAATGTTCTTGTAATTGTTAAAATTAAAATAAACCAGTAGGAAAAGAACGGGACCGACTATACGATACCCTACACCACTTTAGATATATATTTAAGATACAACAATAGGGACCAGCAATTTTTTTTGCATGAGCTCAAATGTTATACATACATATAAAATTTATATGTGTAAAAATATTAACAAGAAATGGCGGTCAATTAAGCAGGTGGAAAAGGCGATTATAATGAAAATAATTAATAGTTAGAAGATAATCATTAAAAATTATGGATATAAAACTTTTTTTCCAAACAAATTGAATTTCATACTCATTATTATACCCTTAACCACTATGGAATTATGTATTTGTACATGTGTTTGTAGCAGGAAAAAAGAAACGAGATAGACACATAGTTCCTTTTGAGAATATGCATAGACTCACTTTTTGAGTCGATTTATGCATATCCGTCTGTCTGTCCGTCCGTCGCTTGATATTAAATTGTAAACAAAGTACAGATCGCAATTATAATCCGATCCGTTTGGTTCAAAGAGAACATTCCATTAGCCTGAAATTGGATTTATAAATATTGAAATAGTGGACCAATAGCTCCCATTTTCTGACTTCATCTAGGCTTGGCAAAGGTAATAGGCTGTGCAATATTTGATTAAAATTGGACGTTCCATTCGACTTATGTTGTATTTATAAATATTGAAAATGTTGTACCTTAAAAATGGGAGAGGTACCAGAATAAATGGACCAATGAGTCCCATCTTCAGACTTCATCTAGGCTTGTTAAAGACAATACGTTGTACACTGTTTGGTTCAACTCGAATATTCCATTCGCCCTTTGTAGGGGAGGTACAAGAAGGAGTGGCCAATGGGTCCCATCTTCACACTTGATAATAGGTCGTACAAAGTTTGGTTAAAATCGGATAGTCCGTTCGCATGATCTTATATAATAAATTTTTTGTGCAGTTTTGACTAGAAGGAGTGGACTGATATTTTGTTTGTTTAACTTTGTTGTTTGCATAACTTCTCATAGAAGTCACAATCCCCCCCAGATACCAATTTTTATACCCTACACAACTATGTTGTCAGGGTATTATAGCTTTGTGCAGCCCCAAGAGTTTGTAACGCCGCGAAATATTGGTCCTAGACCCACCTTTAAGTATACCGATCGTCATATCTCGAGTAGCTGAGTCGATCAAGACATGTGTGTCCGTCCGACCGTCCGTCCGCCCATTATTGTTTGTATACACGATACAGGCCACAGTTATGGACCAATCTTCATGAAATTTTGCATGTAGGATGGGTTCTGGCCAATGAAGATCCCTATTGTTTTTGGTAAGGATCGGTTACTAGTTAGTGGATGAAATGGACCAAATATTTAATTTTTGTCGGTTTTTCTGGTCGCTCCAGAGTCCGCAATTATGGTCCGAACATCGTGAAATTTTGCATGGGGGATCGGGCCAAAAAATAAGCATGCCTGTTTTGATCAAGATCGGTCAATATTTAGTGGGTCAAATGGACCCTGACTTTTGTGTGAAAAATTACAAAATTTTTATTCTGGGGCGTATATACTTGCCCCTGAATGACATATACCCGAGAAGTTGATAGTATATCCAAGAGGAGTTGTTCACCTTTAAATTGATACCAATTATATGGCTGTATGTACTCTTATGTGGGAGTTATACGTAATTCGGTAAATGTGATTATGTGCATAGTATTACTATTACTCCATTAGAGGACGAAAATGTCGCGCTGATCGCTTTGAAAGTGTACATGAGGTTCCAGTTATGGTCAAGGTCGACGCCTACAGTTTTCGATGAAGTTGGGATTTCATTCAGTGAGTGTAATTAACCGAAAACATTAATTTTGTCAGATTTTCTAGTCGCTCTAGAGGCAATTTTTATATGCAGAACATCACATATTTTACAAGGTGAAGGGGATCTGATCAAATGCTGATGACCGGTCAATATTCCGAGGGTCAACTCAACCAAAACCTAAAGTGACCAATTTTTTATTTTATGTCGTAAACATCACTTCAAAAAAAAAAAAAAAATGGAAAATATGACAGGTAAAAAGGGTACAAATATCACGAAATATGGCCCAGGCTCAGAATATAGAACCGCAGAAAGTTTGGTTTTCGTGATTGTTGTGTAGGGTATCATATGGTCGGCCCCGTCCGACTATACTGCTCCGCTCACTGGTTTATCATTAAAAAAATTTTGCAAGGCAAGAAAAAAATGATAATCGCTTGGTGCCAAGTCCGGACTGTATGGCGGATACATTAAAACTTCTCAACCAAGCTCCCAAAGCTTTTTTTATAATTTCAAATATTTCATTAACATCAGAATTATTTTCGTATTTGATTTACTTTGCCTATATTTGCGCTCATATTGTTTGTCTTTCTTTGTGACAAGAACAAATGTATTCCTTATAAGATAAAACACCACACCACTCATTGTTCGGCAGTGTTTTGTTTTGGTATCGTCCTACACCGCTCACTACACTTGGTGATTTTTAATTTTGCAACAATTTAACTGCTGCTTGTTTTGCTAAAAACAACCGTCTCTCCACTCACTCGACTGTTGTTAGGTTTACATTTCATTGTTTCTTTGTTTAAGACTCCGTTAGTGACATCTGCATGGCGTTATGAAATTCGCATATGTATTTTCCAAATTATTTCGATATAAATGCAAAATTCAATATATCAAACAAATGTTGACGAGTATAAAGTCCAAGATTGTTTAACATTGGATAAAATGACGCAAGACAAAAATGAGACGACACTTAAAAAAGAACAGCAAGGAAAGTAAGGTCGGACCAAGCCGACTATATAATACCCTTCAAACAGATTAATCCTAACAGACGTCGCATTTTTAAAGGACCAGTAAAATGAAATTGGATCCATAAACATATCATTCTGCAATTCAGTACGCTGTGTCAAATTAGTGCAAACCGAAAGATATTAAGGGACTTTGGTACAACATTTACCTTAAATCGGACAAACATATATATGGGAGCTATATCTAAATCTGAACAGATTTTCACGAAACTTTGCACACATCATTCTAGACTTAATTCAGTACGCTATGCGAAATTTTATGCAAATAGAAAGATATATTGTGACTTTAGTGGACTATTTACCTAAAATCGGACGAAACTAAATATGGGAGCTATATCTAAATCTGAACCGAGTTTCATGAAACTTTGCACACATCATTCTAGACTTAATTCAGTACGCTATGCCAAATTTCCGATCCGATTTTTCCCAATTTCAATAGGGTTCGTCCTTGGGCCAAACAAATGAGCTGTGCCAAATTTCATCTAATTCGGATCATAAATGCGGCATGTACTTTGTTTACAATTTAATATGGACGGACGGATGGACGGATATGCATAAATCGACCCAGAACGAGATTTTATGAATATTCTCAAAAGGAACCATGGGTCTATCTCGATTATTTTTGCCTGTTACAAACATATGCACAAAGACATAATACCCTGCATTACAGTGTGGTGAAGGGTATAAACAGTCATTTATATTCTGTGGACAAATCCTTTTCCTCATGTAAAATTTCGTTATGTTCGGATTATAATTGTGTCCTCTACTGGAACTAGAAAAAGCGACAAGAATCAATTTTTTTTTTTTTTTTTTTTTAATTTGATCCTCTGGACAAAAGCCGAGGTTTCTCCTTTGTTCAGAACCGGATTTTGTTACGCACATATACAAATCAATAGGCACAAATGATACTATAATTGCCAAAATCGACATTAGCCTTATATAAACAAGTGTCACTACATCGTGTAGAAAGAAGATTGAGTACTAGTTTTGCAAATTCAGTTCGAAGGACGATAAGGACAAAAGTATTATTATTAACCAACATAAAAGAAACAACACCAACAACTAAAGAAGTTATGCAATTATAATTTCAATTCCATGGGCAAAATAAAATAACGCTCCAAAGCAACACCACCAACACACCAATAAGCAATTTCTTAAAATATATTGTCATAATTTTTCAGCACGTACATATACACATTTAAGATTTGTCCATTTCGTATTTTATCTTATGTCTCTTGGTGTTTTCTTTTTATTGCAGATACGCGGCAAACGACTAAATGGTTCGGCACATTCAGCAAAATTAACAAAACTTAGCCCAAATACACGTTACCATATTTGTGTTATCGGTACCGGTAATTGGCTATCGGAGCCTGTAGCGACTGCCTTACAAAGGATACATGTTAACGATAGCTTCCTTATGGCGCCACGTGATGAACCAAACGCATCAATGTATCCATTTGCTTCCGCCTCTTCCACATCCTACTCATCCTCCTCCTCGTCGTCATCGTCCTCAGCACCGTCTTCGTCTCCTTCATATTCCGTGTCAGATGGATCAGGCGGCTATACACCGTATCATTTATCGTATACTGGAAGCTTGTTTAATACAAATAGCATGACCTTTGGCGAACATCCATCGCTGGCCCAACCGCAACAGCAGCAGGCCTTAATCGAAAACACCGTGGCCACCGACAATGCCCTACAAGAAGTTCTCAAAAATTCACGTTTTTCCACCTGCACCGATGTTCAGACACTCGATTCGACGCCCAGTGTTATCACCGATGAAAATGGCTTAGCCACTAATGGCTTCATTCATTCCATACTTACACGCCGTCTTGGTCTTATTGTGGGTTGTTGCATGGGTATTATTGTTTTCATCGTTATGATATCCGTGCTGAGCTATGTAAAGCTGAAGAAACAACGCATCGAGAATGCCAAACGACAGGCCGCCCTGCCACCCGACTACATGTCCTATCGTCATTTCTCAATACCTAATGAAGAGCTACTGAGAACCGGTGCGGCTGGTACGGTCATGTCAAGTGTGCCGAGTGGCATTAGTGCTCACATCAGTGGCACCAGTCTGAGTACGAGTGCAACTACAACGGCCACGGCCACAACACCTCTTGGAATTTTGAAAGTAACTGAAAGTCTGAATAGTAGTATGGGCGGAGGTGCTGCGACAACAACAACGTCTACCGGTAATGCGGTTATGACTGGAGGCAATGGAACTTTAATTTCAGTCTCTCAGTCGGAGAATGGTTCAGTGGCGGCGGCAGCAGCGGCGACAGTAGCAACATCGTCTGCGACCGGAACAAATAACCATCATCACATGCCGACGAATCATCACAATCACCATAATCATCAGCATACTTCCCAACAGCAGCAGCATCAGCATTATCAGCAAGGAAATGGCAATGTCGTTGGCTATATGGCAGCCGGAGTCGTGCTAGGTGCAAATCATTTAAATAACGTCGCCTGTTAGTAGTCGTTAGTTGTAGCATAGCATAACCGATGGAGGAAGAAACCTGGAGTTTTATAGAAGAGCTGTGCTTTTGTTGGCACACTAGGATGTTGGTGGTTAAATGCTGATACCAGATTCAATTTAAAATAAAACCCCCCTAACAAGTAAGAAAATAATGGAAAAAGAAAAAATGCGAAATAGTATAGAATACGTACGTATATTTTTTATTTTTAATATTTTGTAATATGTATTGTATGAACGTGTGTGTGTGTATGAATTTATATACCCTTTGTGTGTGAGCGGTTGTGTGATTAAGGTATGCATGGTTTTGTCTCATTTTATAGATTTTTTTTTTACTTTTTTGTGCAGTCAAACATTGGTTTTGAGTATATCTTTGGCTTTTAAAGCTTGTACTGCGCACAGTGGATTACTAGAGATATTTGGTTGTTTGTCATGAAAGTATAATTATTTTATTTATTATTTAAAACATTTAAAAAATTTAGAGGTTTAGAAGAATGACCAGAACAAGGATTGAATCTTAAACCAAATTGTTCTAAGCTAAATTATTAGACTATCTGGTGTATTAACTTCTCGAGGATCACGAATATCTTTATGAAACTTTTACCACCTATGGGATACACCACAAGAGATTATGTGGCAGTATTACACAACTATTTTGTCAGGGTATTATAGCTTTGTGTGGTCGCAAATGTAGGACGGGTCACGAAATGTAGGACGGGTTCTGGCCAAAGAAAATCGCTATTGTTTTGGATAATGATCGGTTTATATCTAGAAATATACCAAACAGAATATACTTTTCTGATGTGGATTGCGATTGGATAAAGGAACAATCGTGGCTCTTTTCATGACAATAGGTCAATACTTATCCGATCAAATCGACCCAAACTTTTGTGTGGAAAGTGATATTTCACTCCTGATAAATATAGACCGGAGAAGTGAGGAGTGCTTGACCTTTACATTGATACCAATTATATGCTATGTATTTGGATAGGGGAGTTACACGTAAATATTTAAGGAAGGAAGTATTTTTGTTTACTATTACCATTACCAAACTAGAGGACGTAAATGTCGGGCAGATTGCAATGAATATTTATAAGAAGTTCCAATTATGTTTTTCGGTAGTAATTCGATGATATTTAGGGGATGAACCAAAAACCTGTCGCTTAAAAATTCTGTGGAATAATTACAATCCGAATGTCACAAACGTAAGAGGACCCACCCCCATTCTCGGGGCCAAAAATTTTGTTGATATAATTCGAATCTACACTAATTAAAGAATGTCCCTACAAAATTTCAAATGAAAATCTCAAGAACTCTTGAAGATATAGCCGATTTATTGTGTCAGCATCAAGTGACGGCTGAAGGGCTTCTCAAACTTCAAACGCGTTTTTCTCTAAACATTTTTTTGCGAATGGCGGACACGATAACTCAAAAACTAATAACCCAATCGATTTCAATTTTTTACACGTTTCTCTGTGAGTGTATAGCTATCGTATGAACTAGGATAAAGCCAATCAGTGAAGATCTTCCTTATTTTTTAACATGGGTTTTGGTAAAAAATCGGCGATTTTCCAAAAATATTTTTTCAAAGGTCCGCCATTTTGATAATTTTAGAGCGAAGTCAATAATCCTAGTTCATACGAGAGCCAGACATGTACTCTTTCTAACACCGTTGAAATTTTCGGATTCCGATGTTCCAGTGAGGAGTTATCATGCCCGCCATCAAAAATAAGGACTTTTCTTTAATTACAAAAAACAACAACAAAATTTTTTTGTAAATTAAATCTTCAATTATATATGTGTAAAGTTACAAACCAATCTATTGATCGCGTAATATCAGGTAGAGTTCTGAAGGTTTACACTTAGGTACTACTTCCATTAGGAAGATCATTCTAAATGGGATAGTTCGCTTCATTTATTGGAAAATTCGCAATATAAACGTACCGCCAAATGTTTAAAGATTTCAGACATATCCAGCCGAATTGGTTACGTTGGCGACTTTTTTGCCATTTACAGTACTTTCCTGTTTTTACTAACAGATCTTTCCTATTTTCCATGTTTTGAAGCACTTCAACGGTCTGTAATGTGGCATTTCGGATTTGGGGGTGGTGACAGCCTTCTACACAAAAAATGCAATGCATGTCCATGTTTGTCACAGCGCTCATATAAAGATCTTGAAATCGTTTATAGCGATGGTCGCTGTATATAAACTAAGGGGGAGAACTTTTTAGGGGGTCCTTTGGATACCGTCATTATAACCTATATAATGACGGTATTTTCAACCGAAAGGTAATTTGGTATTTCTTTCCTTCTCAGTTCTGGCATTGGCATATAAGGATCCCAAAATATTTTAGATATTTTGATTTATCACTTATTTTTTTCTCTTAAATTTGTCATTCGGTTTAAACCACACCAAAATATTGCACGGAAACCCCATCAACATAAAATTATATATCGGTTTCGGCATGTCTGTCTGTTTGGACATAGTATGCTTGGTATTGGTAATAGGATATATTGGTCCATTTTGGCACACTTTTCAAACAATTGACTTGTATTCTGATTGATATTATAGATATAGGATATAAGCACATCTCATATAAGAAAAAATCGCATATAAGAAAGATTATCAAAAACACCGAGCTTATACTTTCTTATATTCTATAATTCCGTATAAGAAAAAAATGTATATAAGAAAGAAATCTCCGACTTTTTTAGTTTCTTATATCCGATATCTACTGTAGAAGAAAGATATCTCCGGTTTTTTTAGTTTCTTATATCCGATATCTACTGTATTTTGGGAAGTTTGGGCTCAATTTCCAAATTGGGTGTAATTTGGCCTATATTTCGGGGCTTCGCCGACATAATGGAACGAACTAAATTATTTATCGTTAAATTATGGATTTTGTGTACCTTTTTCAAACTCATTAGTCTCTAATTTGACCTGAATTTCGGGTACAGCCATCTATAGATATTTTGATGGAGCCAGCAGCAAATTCCTACCAATCAACTTTATCGCTACGAATTTTGCAGTCCGGACCTTGTCAGACAAACAACTTTTTAGATCTTCAAAACAGAACATCCTCTAAATTGTATGTATCTTTAATATTGCGAACTCTTTCGCCATCATAGTTTCCGGAGCTGTTGCAATGACAAGTTACGGATCGGATCTATTAGGTCATCGGTAGAAAAGAAGCTTGAAATATTTCTAATATGTTAAATACGATTTTAAACAAAATCAAAAAAAAGCTTGGTTATAAACCGATCAAAGTCATATTAGAACCGCGATATATCAGGACAGTTTCAGTAGTAAAGTTTTATTGCGTGTAGATACTTTTTGGCACAATGTAAGATTCATCCTATCCTGTATATTAACCATTGAACGTCTAATTTCCCAGATGAAAAAATACAGGTATCTCCCTATCCATATTCTATAGATAGGACTTAAGATTGGTAATTTCTAATTTCAAATTGAGTGGGCGCACAATAATAAGTTCGCATAGTCTTAACAATAACAATCATAAAAGGGTTTTAAAAATTGACTTCTGTTAATAAAATCAATTAAAATTTTAATTCCTTTTTAAATAATTCTTCCATGAAAAAACAACAACCCATTGTGCACAAACTATAGACAATGAAGCCATTCTAACGACAACTAAGGGCTGCCAACTATTTTATTTAGCCATAGTCGTTTTCTTTTACTTTTTTCTTAATTTTTTTGGCTTATGCCAATTTTTTCTGTGGTTTATTTAAATGAGTTTTAAGCTCATTCTTTGTTCTTTTGTTGCTGCTGTAGTTTTGTTTTTCGGCATTTGTTGATGTTGTTTGTTGTGGCTTCCTTTAATTTCATTTATCGTTATATTTTTGCCAAGCTTACCTTAAGGCCAGGCTGCTGTCATCAGTATAATCATCAGCATCAGAAACTGAAAGACAACTCGTTGGTATTTGCTTTCTTTCTTTCGTTATGCCTTCTTTTTGTACAACATTTCTGTTGACTTTCAACAATTTATAGTTTGTTGTTGTTGTTGCTGTTGGCACATCTTAAGCTACTTCATTATGCCATTCATTTATGTTCATGGGATAATACGAAGGATTTTCACTACCGTGTAATAATAATTGTAAATAAGTAGCAAATGGTAGCTAGGGATGATAAATAAAATGAAATTGTTCTCCTTCTTCTTTCTTGAAAATTAAAATACTTACCAGTGTTTTAGTTCAGTGGCCATAGCAAATGATTTTCAGGAAATTATATTATGGCTTTTCGGGAAGAAATTGCATTGGATGGATGGCTAGGAATTTTATTGGGTTTTTCGAATAAGAGATTAAAAATAATGCAATTAACGAAAGGTAATTGTAATTGTTTGATATTTCCCAAGAAAAAGAAAATGAAACATAGAAAATGATATCAATGAGTCCATATAACGGATATTCCCGATATTCGGTATTTTGAGGTTTTCAGAGATGTTTATCAAGCGTATTGGCTCTAATTTGATATTTTAAGTTCCCGTTAGGTGGGAAATATTTCTATCTACAATTATCATGGTAGGTCCAACATTACGAATTTCATTAGCTTTGTTAGCAATTTACCATGGAAAAGCTCTCATATAAAAGTTCCGAATGATATTGGGTATGTTTGTTGAATGTCCATGTCATTGTGGAGGGTATACAAATTCGGCGCGGCCTTAACGTTTATAATGACGCTTTTACTTCGTTTTTATACCCTTCACCACACTGTGGTACAAGGTATTATGTCTTTGTGCATATGTTTGTAACAGGAAACGAGATAGACACATGGTTCCTTTTGAGAATATGCATAGAATCACTTTTTAAGTCGTCCGTCCGTCCATGTATTTTTGTTAACAAAGTACAGGTCGAATTTATGGTCCGATTTGGATAAAATTAGGCACAGTTCTCTTATTTGGCCCAAGGACGAACCCTATTAAAATTGGGAAAAATCGGTTCTGATTTAGATATAGCTCCCATATATATGTTCGTCCG